CAAGCTAGCTAGTCAGAACAAGGTATGAATGTGCTAGCACTCGCTAGCTAGAGAGGACAAAGGATTACTGTGCTAATTAAACGTCACAAAAGACACTGAAATTCTTAATTATTGTTATCAACATGAGGAGTAAAGCTTTAGATTTTTTCTGCATCTTAACTGCCAATGTAAAATGTTTATACTTAAAAAATCATGCCTCTGCTTGAAAAAACTACTCTGTGCATCAGCAGCAGTCAATGATGTCATCTTTCATTGCTCTCATTCATTTCTCTTTGTCCAGGTTCACATCACTGTTATGGACAACAATGACAATGCTCCCATCTTCTCCCAACCAACCTATGATGTCACTATTTCTGAAGACACGCCACCTGACACTGAGGTGGTCCAGGTTCTAGCATCAGACCGCGATGAGCATCACCAGCTGACCTTCTTGCTGCAGAGCTCCATAGACCCCAGTAGCATGCGTTTGTTCCGCATACACCCGACCCTGGGGACAATCTACACTGCCCAGAGGCTGGACCACGAAGCCTGTGCCCATCACATCCTTACTGTCATTGTAAGTCTATGTCACAGTCTCTGCCAATGACTTATATTGAGAGAGACCATGAGAGACCATGCTGTGCGAGCATCAGAGAGAGCTGTTTAACTTTTCTCCTTTTATTGTGTCCATAGTGTGTATGTGTGTTGTTTTGTTTGTTTGCTTAATTGGTATCTCAGTTTTGGTTATCTCATGCTGGGTTGGGCATGGGCTGAAAAATTGCAAACTTTTTCGGGCTGGCGACCCACTCCCTCTGTCGATAAAAATGTCTCATTCTAAGGTAATGAAAATACAGTGAGTCTTATTTTCATTTGATTATACACTAATGAAATCATACATATGAATATTATATTCACGTTTCTCCCAATAGATGCCCCTAAATGTTACACACTGGACCTTTAAATTGACCATTAAAGCAAGCACTGCATTTTAAAGCACAGTTTAGTAGTACATCCATTGGTGTTACTACTGACTACTGATGGTGCAATGAATAATCAAAAGTCAGGGTCAGGGTTAATCAAAAGTCTCTAAGTTACCCAGGTCTAAGTCAGGCAGTGTTTTCGGTTAAACAAAATCAAGAAACTGCAATAACCAAGGGCACATGTCAAATATGTATGGTTGTTATCCTCTTATTGGTTATTGATCTTTTGAGTGGTTAAGACAAAAGGAGCGCTTTGAAAGTAGACATTTTTTTGAGGAGGAAATCATTATAGTATTGTATTTCTGTGTCTAATAATATTACTTAGAAAATTTTTGATTTTTCAGGTATATGATCATCAAATGTCATTGAGTTCATAGTGACCGTGAAGGATTACTTTTTTATTGTTGTTTTGCTTTGTTTGTTTTTTTTGTTTGTGTTGTTCACAGGTTAAGGACCAAGAGTTCCCATACAGAAAGAACCTAGCTCGTGTGCTTATAGAAGTGGAAGATATAAATGACCATGTTCCCATCTTCACTAATGCTCTGTACGAAGGTTCTGTCTATGAGTCAGCAGCAATGGGATCAGCTGTGGTCCAGGTCACTGCCCTGGACAAAGATAAAGGCGAGAACGCGGAACTACACTACTCCATTGATGCAGGTAGGCACCTCTGACAACTAAATACTTGCTCTTGTATATTTCAATATTTTATAACCTGTAAATACCTGTAATAACTACCACATTGATGACATTTTTAAATTTTGTTTTTGATTTTCCAACAGGGAACACTGGAGATGCATTCTATATTGAACCAGTTCTGGGTATCATCACTGTTGCACGTGATCTGGACTTGTCCAGCATAGGCCATTATGTTCTCACTGTTAGAGCTACTGACAATGGCTCCCCTCCTCTGTCAACCACTACTATAGTGCGTATTGCTGTCACTCTCTCGGACAACGCTGGCCCGAAGTTTCCTCAGCCTGAGTACCAGGCTGAGATCACAGAGAATGCCGTCGTCGGGACCTCCGTCACTACAGTCAGTGCAGTCAGCCAGTCTACCCTCACATACGACATCAAGCAGGGCAACACCAATCGTGTTTTTCAGATAAATCAGTACAGTGGAGTGATTACTACTCAAAAACCTCTAGACTATGAGACTACAGCATCTTACACCCTGATAGTCCAGGCTACTAACATGGCTGGTATGGCCTGCAATGCTACTCTGTTAATCCAGGCAGTAGATGAGAATGATAACCCACCAGTTTTCCAGCAGCTTCACTATCGTGGCAGCATCAGCGAGGCAGCACCAGTCAACAGCGTGGTCTTAAACTTAGATGATTCACCTCTGGTAATCAAGGCCACTGATGCTGACCGCAACCAAAATGCTTTGTTGGTCTACCAGATTGTTGAGGACACTGCAAAAATGTTCTTCACAGTGGACTCAGGAACTGGCTCCATCAGAACCATTGCTAATCTAGACCATGAAACAATGGCAACCTTCCACTTCCATGTTCATGTGAGGGACAATGGCAGGCCACAATTGACAGCAGACAGTCCAGCTGAAGTCACAATACAAGTGATTGACACAAATGATTCACCACCTCGCTTCACCCAGAATGCCTACGAAACAGTCCTGTTACTCCCCACGTATGTGGGAGTAGAGGCTCTGCAGGTTTCAGCCATAGATCCTGACCAAGATGTCTCTACAGAGCTCACTTACTCTCTGACTGATGGAGTATTGGAGCACTTTGCCATCAAACCTTCTAGTGGAGTCATCATAGTCAAGCACAACAACTTCTCCAAAGAACGTTTCCGTTTCAGTGTCAAAGTTTCAGATGGGAAATTCTCCAGCATGGCTTTGGTAACCATTCTTGTCCGAAAAGCTCTGGACTCTGGTCTCAGCTTCACCCATAGCCTTTACTCTTCATCTATTCAAGAAAATGTATCCAATATCACCAAAGTGGCAGTGGTCAATGCTGTGGGAAACTATCTTAATGAACCATTGAAGTACACTTTGTTGAATGCTGGTACACGCTTCAGAATCCGTCCAACTTCTGGTGTGATCCAAACTACAGGTATACCCTTTGACCGTGAAGAGCAAGAGTTTTATGAACTCGTTGTCGAGGCGAGAAGGGAACACGACTGTCAGCATGTGGCCAGAGTTATGGTTAGAGTCCAAATTGAGGACATAAATGATAATGTCCCTGTGTTTGTTGGGCTTCCTTATTATGCAGCGGTTCAAGTAGAAGCTGAGCCAGGATCACCCATTTTCAGGGTAATGGCAGTAGATAGTGACAAAGGGATTAATGGAGAGGTGTCTTACTATCTCAAGGATGACCATGGCCACTTTGAGATCAACCGACAGACAGGCAGCCTCAGCCTCAAGAGGGCTTTTGAGTCTGACTTGTCCAATGTGGAATACCAGATAGTGATATATGCCAGAGATGGTGGTTATCCACCTCTTTCATCTACTATAGAGTTCCCCATCACTGTAGTCAACAAAGCCATGCCTGTCTTTGACAAATCATTTTATTCTGTTTCTGTGAATGAGGATGTGGCTGTGCACACCCCTATCCTTGGCATCAATGCCACTAGTCCTGAAGGTCAAAACATCATCTACACTATTGTTGATGGAGATCCATCTCTTCAGTTTGACATTGGTTTTGATACTGGAGTCATAAGTGTCATCCACTCTTTGGACTACGAAGCAGCGTCATCTTACCACCTGACCATCAGAGCCACAGACTATCTGACTGGTGCTCGTGCTGAGGTTGATGTAGACGTGGTCATCCAGGATATAAATGATAATCCACCTATCTTCCAGAATATGTCTTACAAAGTAGTTTTGTCTGAAACAGCCATGATTGGAACTCCAGCACTTCAAGTTATTGCCACTGACAAAGATTCTGAGAAGAACAATGTTGTCCGCTACCAGATCTTCTCAGATGCGCATAACAACACAGACTACTTTCATATTGACAGTAGCAGCGGATTAATCCTCACAGCACGTATGCTTGACCATGAACTAGTCCAGAAGTATGACTTCATTGTTAGGGCCACTGATAATGGCTTCCCACCATTGAGTAGTGAAGTATCAGTCATAGTTGTGGTGAATGACATGAATGACAATCCTCCAGTTTTCAACCAGCTGCTCTATGAGGCATACGTGAATGAGTTAGCACCTAGGGGTCACTTTGTAACCTGTGTCCAGGCCTCAGATGCTGACAGATCTGATTTTGACAAGTTGGAGTATAGCATTTTGTCAGGAAATGAAAGAATGAACTTTGTAATGGACAAAAAGACAGGAATCATCACATTATCCAGCCACCGTAAGCAAAGAATGGAACCTGCCTACAGCCTCAATGTTTCAGTGTCTGATGGGGTGTTCACCAGCACTGCACAGGTTCATGTTAAGGTGTTGGGGGCCAACCTGTATAATCCGGTTTTTGGACAGAATATGTATGAGGCAGAGTTAAGAGAGAATTCTGCTGTGGGAACCAAAGTTCTACAGGTAAGTGCTATTAAAATTCATTGATGTGTTTTTCTCCTTTGTATATTTATTTCAGAAGAAACATGACTAATAATATTGTATATATAGAATGCTCATGTCTGTATTAACAATTTTTTTTTTTTAATTTTAGGTGAAGGCAACAGATGCAGACCCTGGGGTGTTCGGTCACATCATTTATTCCTTTGTTAACGATGTGGGCAAGGACCAATTTTATATTGATTCAAGTGGTCAGATCACTACTATAGAAAAGCTTGATCGTGAGGACCCAGCCAATAAGGACATTGTTTTGACAGTAGCGGCCCAGGACTCAGGTGGACGTGTCTCTTACTCTACAGTACAAGTTTCTCTGCTGGATGATAACGATAATGTACCTCGCTTCCGTGCCACAGAATACAGAGCTTCAGTCAAATCAGATGTGCCTAAAGGTTTTCTGGTGACGCAGATTCAGGCGTATGATCCTGATGATGGCACAAATGCCAAAGTGACATATTCACTTTACAGCGAAGCACATGTCCCTGTGGTAGACATTTTGGAGATAGACCCAGACAATGGTTGGATGGTAACTAAAGGTAGCTTCAGCCACCTGAGGAACTCTGTATTATCTTTTTTTGTAAAGGCTGTGGATGGAGGAAATCCAGTCCGGCACTCTCTAGTGTCTGTCTACATCCATGTTCTTTCTCCAGACGCTTTCATTCCTTCCTTCAGCCAACATCAGTACCTCTTTAGCATGCCAGAGGACACCCCCATAGGTTCAGCGATAGGGGCAGTGCGCCTAAATGCTCCTCCTGGATATACTTCACTGTCGGCTACCTTTTCCCTGGTTCATGGAGAGACTGGAGAAAACAATCAAGATGGGATGTTTGTGGTGGAAAAGGATACAGGTGTGATCAAGCTTGATAAGACCTTGGACCATGAGGTGATCAAAGGATACCATTTCAAAGTCACTGCCACCGTACAACAGGCTAAGCTTGATTCTGTGACTTCTGTCGATGTTGAAGTGAAAGTGTTGGATCTAAATGACAACAAACCAGCCTTTGAGGCCAACTCCTATGAGGCCACAGTTATGGAAGGAATGTCAATTGGAACCAGAATCATTCAAGTCCAAGCCCTGGACCCAGACTCAGGGGCCAATGGTCAGGTAACATACAGTCTTGGGGCATTAATTCAGTCAGAAGGGGATTCAGACACATTGGTTGGCACCTTTAGCATTGACAGCAACACAGGCTGGATTTCCACACGCAAGGACCTGGACCATGAGACCAGCCCTTCCTACACATTCACAGTGGTGGCCTCAGACCTTGGGGAGACCCTCTCTCTTTCCAGTACCACCACTGTGACCATAGCAGTGTCAGACATCAATGACAACCCACCCAGGTTCCTGGAGCAACACTACTTTGGTTCAGTTCAGGAGAGCGACCCGCCAGGTGAGGTGGTAGCTGTGCTGAACACCAGAGATGATGACAGCTCTGCCATTAACCGACAAGTCAGCTACCACATTACAGGTGAGTATCTCTGTAAATGTCATTGTATGACCAGACAAGAACGTTCATACTGACCAATTTGACACCCTGGATTCTGTCCATTGACAATTTTTTTAATGCCAATGTATTTAAAGATCTTGTTTTCCACAGTATCTGTGCATGGCAACTATGGTATAGTTAAGGTCCTAGGGTTACTGGGCTGTCGCTTTTACACAGCCCATTCAGGGCATGTTGCACCGTTATTCCACCTTGCCATTCTGTATAGAAGCTACGAAGATGGTATGGGAGGTTGTTGTTGTTCCACCTCTGAACCAGCAGTAAATGTCGTAACAGAGCTGAATTTAAATGTATCTAAAAAGAGTGAGGCTGCGTAATAGGATATGTGTGTAGTGAGTGAGCAAGAGATATAATGCCATCAGTGTTATAGAGCAAAGGCAGCATAATGGTGGTTATGTTACAGAATCTCTGTAAAAAGGGCCATAAATGGCTGAAAACCATTGTGTTTCTTTTTGTCTTGACCTGGTGGTTTAATCAAGATATAGTAGTCATCAAACTTGTTAGTATTCTGCATCTCTAAACCATTGCCACACCCATTAATAAACATGAGGTAAGAAGTTGCACATTATTTAAAGGTGTGATTTAGTACATAATTTACAAATTTTCTATGTTACTTCCAAATGAATGAATGCTGCTGTGAACAATTTTATCTTGTGCTTCTTGGTAGTCTTGATGCAAGTCTAAAAAGCCATTTTTTACCCAGGGAAATCAATTCAGTGTCATAACCTTTTCCAAATGTGTAAGAGATATATCATGTTTCCATGACATGACAAGCAAAGGCTCAAGGCACAAAAAGATATATGCCAGTCAAAAGAGGCAAACAAAAGAACAAAAACAGAAATGGAAAGAAAGGTTCATGCTGAAATTGCATTAATAATATAATCAGAAGGCTGACTTTGTTGATTTGTCATCTGCTCATTGACATGTCAGAAGGTAGTAATGATGTTAGGACTCCCCAAGAAACTAAGACAAGAGGACTACCATGCTAACTGGAGATAGAGAGCTGATGGAGGACTTTTAAGGGGAAGGTATTTGATATTTGATTTGAATTCTGCAATCACCTGCTTACTTTTCATAGTATTATATTTTGTCTAAATTTATTATGGACTAGTTTCTTTGGTGTTTTTATACCTCGATGGAATATATTAGGCAGCAAGTGAACATTTTGTCCTCATAGTTGATGCATTAGAAGCAGAGCATCTCCAAAACTGCAGCTCTTGTGGGGTGTTTCCTCTGCAGTGGTCAGTACCTATCAAAAGTTCTATCAAGGCTCATTGATACATGTGAAGAGCGAAGGCTGGAGAACCAGCAATTGGATATTACATATATTTTGGTTATATCAATTGGGCTCTGGTACAAACACAACAGAAAAACAAGAGTCTTGTTTTGGGAGGTAGCTACATTTTTCTCACTTAATAATTAGGAAGTGTCAAAAAGCACAGAGTAGGACACTGGGAAGCTCAAACATTGTATTGCTGCTTGAAAGACATATAAACATAGGGAATCTGACCGTTACCGTTTGATATACATGATGCAATAGGAAAGGCATAAATCATTAACTGCTTATGTGCTTGGAACACACTTTTGTGCTGGACATAATCTGCATAAATATTCAAGGACAGAAATATGTGTTCCAGAGAGCATTATGAGGTTGGGTGAAGCTGAGACAAGACAGTAAACATTACATTGCAAGCCTGATTACTTCCAGTATGTTTTACTACCAGGCTTGAACAAATTTATACATGTTCATGTACATGATATTTCAGAATGAATTAATGCCTTTCCTATTGTGTAACATTGGCTGCTTTCTAATGGTAGCTGTTGGGTTATCAAGTATGTTGGTTTACCTTGACACAGCCTGATGTCTGGATTTTGATTATCCATTGTCTTTTCAGTCTCTGATCATACAGGAAACATGGAAATGATAACTATTTCTCAGATTCCCTACGTTTATATGACTTGCAACCTGGACACAGCAAAGCACAGAGTAACTCTTCCATGCTTGACATGGGACTTGACTAACCAAAACATGAGGCTTACTTTGTCCTACTTCTGCAAACAAATGGAGTAGTACTAAATAATATGTATATATATATTTCACATGTTGCTTTACTTTGATAGGACAGTAGAGATACATAGGAAAGACAGGGGTGACAGAGAGGGGATGACATGCAGCAAAGGGGCCTTGGCCCAGCCTTGTGGTACATGCTTTGCCCAGTGAGCTACAGGGGCACCAACAAATGGACTACTTCTAATTTGAAGCCTGACATAAAACTTTACAGTAACATACAATTTTGCTGGTCTTGCAAAATCATTGAGTGTGACATTTAAACTGCAGCTTTATTAGAAATACACGTGTAACATCAACTGATGTTCTGCTTTTGTGCAGTTTTTAGGGAAATCAGTCAAAAACTCCACGCAGACTTGCATGTCTAAATATTATTTATTGATCCTATATCTCACTAACCCTATTTCTCTGTCTGTTTGTGTGTTGTTCAGGTGGTAACTATCGTGGTGTGTTTGCATTGGGTCTGGTTCAGGGTGAATGGAAAATGTATGTGAAGTGGCCACTGGACAGGGAGGAACACAACCTCTACATAATCAACGTCACTGCTAGCGATGGACTCTTTGTTTCCCAAGCAATGGTGGAGGTGACAGTAATAGACACCAATGACAATAGCCCCATCTGTGACCAGGTGAGGCTCAGAGAGGGTTAGGAGAGACACAACAGTGACTGTTAATGACTTAATGAAATTATTTGACTCAGTTAACTGTAAATGTAGCAGTTGTCACCAACCTTTCGTAGTGTAATTTTATTCCAGTGACTGGGTCTCTTTATTTGGTAAATGGTAAATGGA